GTCCTTGAACTCCTGAGCTCAAGCGATTTTCCTGCCTCAGCCTCCCATAGTGCTAGGATTACAGGTGCCACCCACACCCAGCTTTTTATTTGTATTTTTGTGTGGATGTTGTTGTCATCTTAAAGACTGAGGAACTTGATATCTTCTTGTAGGACTGTTACTGTGTAATAAACTCTCTTGTTCACTTTTCAGTGCTATGTAGCTTATAGCAACCAAAGACGGATCTTCACTTTACAGATGGGCTATAACTGTGACAGTTCTTAAATCTCTCTTAAAAGAATGGCCACCTGTGCCACTGTGTTTATGTCCTTTGCTGGGAGGAATTGTTTCTTCAGTCTTTGGAAACGCCCCCCCCCCGCCCCAGCTACCTCAGTGTAGAATCTTGTGTTTATGCGAACACCTTCATTTGATGTTCTTAACCAGGACAACTCGTCAGAATCTCCTTGGAGCCTTTACAGTCTATATGTCTACATATCTCAGCCCTGCCTTCCTAGAAAGTCTGATTCAGTGGCTTTTCTGTGGGACCCAAGCCTCACGCAGGCATTTTGGTAGAAAGTTTGGTTTGAGGACCTGAGGACCACTGGTGTATTTTTCTTTTCTTTTCTTTTCTTTTTCTTCTTTTTCTTTTTCTTCTTCTCTTTCTTTTCTTTCTCTTCTTTCTTTTTTTTTTTTTTTTTGGTCTAATTACAGGACTAGGTTATCAACCGTGGAACTTCAAAACTTATTTTTCTTAACTTATATCATCTTCAACTCAAAATCAAGAGAAGAGTGTCTCACAAAGATGGGGAGTAGTCAGCGGGGTTGAGTGCTGCCAAACATTGGATTTGGAAGGCACTGATGACCTTGGGATAGAAGCCCAGAAGGATGAGGAAAAGGTGAATGATAAAAATAAACAGACAGACAAAAATAATTTTTCAAAGTATTGTTCTAGGATGTGCCAGGGTAAAATCAAGTCCATTTATTTAAAGCATACTAGATATTAGCCACTGTTCCAATGTTTAGGGATACTCAGATAAACATGATACATGCTTTAGTGTCTCAGGGAACCTACTACCTACTAGGACAGCCACAAAAACAGATAGCATATGACAGACAGCAAGTGTTATGTGAGAGATGCCTGAGCACACAGGAAGATTACTTGAGCCTATCTTGGGAGTTTAAATTAATTAATACAAGTAAAACCACTTACAAAAAGGCCATTTGCATAGTAAACATTCAATGAATAACTTAATAATAATGACAACATTTATGTATTAATAATATGTATTGCATAGTAAGCATAATTTAACTCATTTTACAGTACCAGTATCCTTATATACAGATAAAGAAACAGGTGTAGAGAGTAGGGTGACAAAGGTTTCACAGCCCTTGTTGGCAAAGCCAGTATTTATATCCAGTCAGCTTTCATTCTGTGTAACTTAACCACTGAGATATGCTTCCTTTCATTTTTATTTTCTTTTGCGTGTGTGTGTATAGGTGAGTTTTTCCTAGAGATGTATCCAAGCTTTAAAAGAGCTTAGTGCTTTCAGGATAAGTCCTGCAGTGTGCCTTGAGAGCTGAGAGAAGGGAATGAGAGGCAGGGATGAAGTGACAGGTTAAGAGGATGCAGGTCATGGAAGTCAGACTCCTAT